TCTAATTGACGTCACCGCTATCAAGAACAAACATTAATATTTTTGTTATTGAACATTTAAATTGTATGTGAACAAATAAAAAAATGGGTTAAAATTGATTATTTGAACTGAATAGGTACTCCTGTAGGACCTTTGTTACCAATTAAATAAGTACAGTCATAATTTCTACATTCCCGTGGAGCATGAGTAGGTATCCTTTAAGTACACAAGATCCGCCACATGGTGAAAATCACAGGTTTTCGGTGAATGGAAAAGGTGAATTTTTATTCGGCGTGGTGGACTAAGCTTATCTTTAGCATTTGAAGTAGATGTCGTAAAGGACATAGAAAAATACGTCCAAGCTAAAAAACTTTTCAACTACGACCTTATCAAAAGAATTATCATCATCATCAATGCTGATCCTCCGCTGAACTATTAGCCTTCTCCAAATACGAAGGCATTCCATACCAGAAGAATACGACGATAAAAATGAAAGAGTTAATGTTAATACCATTGTTGATCAAGTGTCTCCTGCTTAGTAGATAAGCCTTTTTTTCCGGGGGTATAATCATCCAATGACTTCTCCCGCCTTGGGTTAGGTTAAAGTCCGTTAGAGGTAGTGTCAGACTCTTACTGACTAGAAACCATCCCGTTCCTACTACTCCTGCTCTTCGAGCCGGAGCCCCGGCAACCCGTTAGGCCTTCCGCGGCTTCGTATCGGGCAACTGCGCTACTGGGCGCCAGGCAGCCTGGGCTTACAGCGAGCCCAGCTTCTTTGTTGAGAGTTGAAGACGCTGCGCGCGCGAGCGCACACCGACTCACAATACTCGACGACCCCGAAAACGCGAAACGCACTGGGGCGAGCATCATCCAAAGCCTGGCTTAGGATTATTGTATTTATAGATTTTATTTCTAGATTGCAATATAACATGAAATCTAGTCTATTTAAACAAAACATTAAGTATGTTATCTTTTGTCGTCAAACAAAACAATGTCTTTATCTTAGAGTGTGAGAAATTATTGATTATTAGAGCGCACACAAACATATTTTATTTTATTTTGTTTGTGTTTGTCTAACTATAAAACGTTGCTACCGTCCGTACGTCACTGCAAGGGTGCGCCACTGAAAATTAGTGCTGCATGACTCGTGTGCCTAGCTTACACTGAGCGGGTAACCCATTTAGGCATGTTGTTAGCGTCATATTCTGATTCTTCTTTTTTTAAATTTTTTATTCACTTTTTATCTTTCACTGTCACACTATGTTTTTTTTTTTTATGCAGCATCATGGCTGGTACTGAATAAATGTATTTAAATAGTAATTCTTTTTTTTTCCTTTTCTTCTTTTATTTCGAACAGATAAAACTATCCAATACACATGTAAGATTAAGAAATAATAGTCCACAACACTAAATCATATAATATATTATATCGACGTACAATTATTTTGTAATTAACTAAGTTTGTTTAAGATACTATGTTTGTTAGTCCACATCGTCCATCTCTGAGTTATTTTTAAGTGATAATTATTGTTACCCTGTCTTATAATTAGTAGGTAAAAAGTGTCAGTAGTTAATTGGATAGCGTAGCGTAGACTGCCACTAGATATAGACTGATGACATCGTCAACTGATTAATACAAGACTCAACACTGGCTGTATAGTTGACAACAAAGCTATTGAAGACCCGGTTGAAAAAAAAGTTACGGATTATCATAAGGTGAGTGTGTTGGCGCTAGATTGTACCTGACTGGCTGGCAATAGGCCCACCCCCTATTACATGGGACTCATAACATAAATAGTGAAAAGTTGGTGTTACATTGCAGTGGCTTTAAGTGCCAAAATGTGCATGCCTACCTCTTCGGGGAGAAAAAGACGTGATGTTATGTGATTATACTTTTTATTACCTGAGTATCCTCTGTGTTATCATGGAGGCCCTGAGGTTTAAGACGCCCGCTTCTAATACATGAGAACGCGGGTTCGAAAACTAAAAATGGCAAGTACCAATGTGACTTTTTCCGAGTTATATGTACTTTCTAAGATTATCTAGACACCACTAACAAACGGTGAAGGAAAACATAGTAAGGAAACCTGGGCTTATAGTTTCTAGTTATAGGTTTGAAATCACTAACGCGCTTTGAGCAACCTTGGTGATTAATGCTCAACCCTTCTCTGTGTGAGAAGAGGCCTTTGGTCAGCTGTGGCCACTTATAGGATGATGATTACTTAAGTAAAGTAAATGATATACAACAAAGGTGCTACGTAAAATACGCTACACATTTTTCAGGTAGGTATGTTAAAATTGTTGTTCTTTGTTTATATTATTTCTTCTTAAAAAGGAACTAATAATAAACCAAAAGGATCAGGTTATACTATCAATACTTACCTACATACTTTTTGAAATAGACAAAAACAATTTGTATTTATGACCAGTGTCAATAAAATAACATAACATCAACGCCTTTTTACCCCGAAGAGGTAGGTAAAGGTGCTCATTACGGCACTTAATGACACTGTACAATGTAACACCCACTTTTCACTATTTATTTTATGAGTCCCATGTAATAGGGGGTGAGCCCATTGCCATATAACGGGCACAATTCCAGACACCGTGCTACTACTGACATTTTTTTAAAAACCCAGTAATACTTTGCCCGACCCGGGAATCGAACACGAGACCCCATGCCCGGCAATCGCACTTGCGAACAAACAGCCAACGAGGCAATCTCTCTGAATAAAATAGTGAATCGCATTGGCGCTAAAACATCAAAAAGGTCGGTAGATTTAATTGACAAACTCATTAGTAATTACATTATAATAAAAGACAAAAAGATCCGACCCCTTTGTTACCTTTGCACTAACGATATCGACTATTAATTTTTTAATAACTAAGTACTTTTTTCCTTTCATTTCGCCGACAACGACGCCTTATTATCATCGACATAATGACTAAATTAATTATTCAACTATGTAAATGAAAACCCGCCGGCGGTTAGAAATAGTTAGTAAAACGATTAAAATAACCGAAAGAAGTTTTTAAAAAGTAGGAGACGACAGTTAAAACTAAGCTGCATGCCAAACAGAACTGGACTCCTAAGTAAAAGTGTATTCTGCATGATACCTAGATTATACAACCATTTACCCACCACATTATTGGAAACAACAAACGACCATTCATTTAAAAGTAAATTAAAATGTCTACTTTTGGCAAAAGCCTATTACTCCATAAAGGAATTTTTAGAGGACAATATATCCGGAATCGAAATGTAAATACTGGAGCACACAGATACACTATTAATGTATGAGTAACTGTATGACATTAAATTTTAATTGTATTTTAGATAGTAACAATTTTATTAAATATTATGTATAGATGATATTCGATTTTGTGACATATTAGAATTTTTATCGACAAAGATTTAAAACTTTAATTTACCTATATGCTATTTTCTGACTTAATAATAATAATTATTCCTTATGACGTAAACCCACTATTTTTGACCTTAAAATTAATCTTTTTTATCTTGACTTAAATTGTTGTCACTTAACTTTGCATGGCGAAAGCCGGAATATGGCGATCTATATTATTATATGACTGTATAAACTATGAACAACATGATGTACCCATATTTGAGATTTTAATATCGCACAACGTACGATGACGTTCAAATAACATTTAAATTATACGGCAAAACGTTCATTTCCGATGAAAGTTCAAGTAAAAATCCTTTTAAATGTATCTTGTGTCACAACATATAAAATACCCAACTCTGTACTGTCACGTAGGGTAAGTTTAGAACTATTTAAAATAAGTGTCGTTGATAGTGTGCGGTTACGGTATTCACATACGCACAACGTGTTTATACGTCCCGCGCTCCTACATTCAGCGCGGCTGTGTCACTGTGTACATTACTTTAATGCAAATTAATGATTTTACAGTGTGAAATTGATGTTTAATGGGTTATTGTGTGTTTTAGATGGATATAAGCGCAAAATAAGACACAAGATAAGCATGTTTGATGATTCCGACATCTCCAACGAGGCGGATCCTTACCTAGATGCATATACACGTTGACGTGATAAAACGGTTGTGTCATGATATGTTTAAAACGATATTTCTTCATGGGACACTACGTACTGATACGTCGTATAATTTTGTATAGACATGTACTGTGTCATTTTGAAAACCCAACTCAAGTGGTAGCGTCCTCGAACGTGTTAATGCATTCGTATACCGTGTCACTTCAATGACATTATTCGCATATTTGTTTTCTAATTAAGCCGGTAGGTGTCACTAATCGGTGTTAGGAAACTGTTTAGCAACACTATTAAGTACCCAGTTATTAATTTTTTAAACTAATTGACTGTTTCTCTGGCCGAGTGGTCGCAAGTGCGACTCGTAAGGGGTATCGGGTTCAATTCCCGGGTCGGGCTAAGTATTACTGGGTTTTTAAAAAATTCTCAGTAGTAGCACGGAGTCTGGAATTGTGCCCGGTATATGGCAATAGGCTCACCCCCTATTACATGGTACTCATAACATAATAGTGAAAAGTGGGTGTTACATCGTACAGTGGCGTAATTTATACCTCTGCCTACCCCTTCGGGGATAAAAGGCGTGATGTTATGTTATGTAATTTAATGGCGAAAAATTGCTCTGCAAAAAGATCAAGGTTTTATTGAAAAAATAAAGTCTTTTTAACTCTCGGTTGATTGGTCAATTGATTGAAAAAGGTCTCATATTCAGAACCCGTTAAGCCAACCCATTTATCCCCAAGCGGTCACCGGTGACCGCTCTCCACTAACTACATTATAGACCTTATTTCCGATGTTTAGAGACTACTTTTGTATGAACAAATTTAGGGTATAATTTTCTAAATTATGCAAGAAAATATTCCTTATGAATCAACTATATCCATTGGTGAAAACTGCATGCAAACTCGTTCAGTAGAAATGTACAGACACTGACAAAAATGACGAAGTCATGATTTTTGCCCCTTAAAAAAATACAAGGAATGTAATACCAACATGGCAACAAGTAAGTCACATAAGACTGTGTGGTACCATCATTATCTTAAATATTTAACAATTACTTAAATAAAGTCAGTATAATAAACCTCTGTTTAAATATAATACAGTCAAAATCAACAAACACTTCCAAGTGTGTCGTATTGTATTACCTGACCTATCTACACGTACCTAGGTCTTACTCTAAATGAATAACCAACTCATTCACTTTACACAGCTGAATAAAAACCATCACAAATATCTGCCGTTTAAACAAAAAGTATCATAGACAATTTGATAATGAAAATTTAAAACTATTATCAATAAAATTTATGTCACCCGACCACTGCAGCCCCGCCAAAACATAAATAGAAGACTAATTTTAATTGGTTGCTTGATACAGAAGAAAAAGTAAACGGCATTCCTTTTTTAATCTGCAGTCTGCTATTGGCTGGCGGTTGACGTAAAAAGCTCTACGCCCCTTCCCCGCGTAGCCGCGCTACGAGTTTTTTCTGATCACCTTTTTTACGCTATAAAAAGTGAAGTAAATAAGGGGGACGCAATCTATACATAGGGGTTACTTTCATGTGGTTTTAAGGGACATAAACTCTAAAGTAAGCCTATTTACTACATACAAACGGCTCATGAATGACAAACAAACAATCCATTTGTTTTAACGTTCGCCCTCAAATATTTTATTGTCTTACTTAATAAATGGGGTAAACATACATAAAAATCACATTATAACCGTAAACATTAAGTGATACAATACGAAAACAATCTAATTTCCCTACACGCAGTTTTATCGGCCAATAATACCCGATATAATACGGCCAGGCGTTATTACAATAACAACTGGCAAAATACGCGGGGTTGCTTATTTTTTATTATTAATATCGCATAAACAATAACTTAATAACTTGATCCCCACCCACCGAAGCTCGCGTCGTATTGGTTCAAATAAAAATAGGCTGTGGGGACGAGAGCGGAACAGACGTATCCATCAGTATTGCCGTCCCTGTCTGCCAAAGACGTCGCTTTCAAACATAGAATACATTTATCGATGTTTGGAGCATAAAAATTGACAGATTTTTTTCAGTTCATTGTGAGAGGTGGCGACGGGCAGACGTGTCCCGGCCGTCGCATCGAAGGGTTGTCTCAAAAAACGCTCACCGTTTTATCGTGTGTATGAAAAATAATTTATCTGTGAACCCAAGGACTAAAGTGAATTTTACGGATTTTAACTAATGTTATTGATGTTGTGTTGTGCTTAAATTTCTTCAATATAGTCAATAAGGTACGTGTTATTATGTTATTTTTTTTATTTACTTATTTTAATGTTTAGACTAAATCATTTGCTTTTAAAAAAATTGGCCGTAAATACTGTAGAAATAAGCTTCAAAATTGTTTATTATTGTTTTGTTTAGAGGGTATCCCGGTGCTGTGAATTGCCTGTGTGTGTTATTTTTCTAACATTACTTTATACATAGATTTTATTACATAAAGGCTATTACAATATTGATTTGTTTTAACATATATTTATCTGCATTGATTAAACATATACCTAGTTTACTAACCAAAAACAAATATTAAATAAATAACATTCTTCATAAAGGTTCAGACACTATTCATTTGTTATTTTATAGAAGCTTTCAGTGATTATTGTCGGCTTTTAATACACTTCTGCCTACCCCGTCGATGATTAAAAGGTGTTACGTTATGCTACTTTATATACATATTTAAGTTTTTAGTTCATAAACAATATATAAGCTAAATGTTTTAGATAACTACTGGTTATATCTCTAGATACTACTTAATTCAACTGAAACATTGTAACTACTTAGCAATACAAAACTACATTGAAATCATTACTTACATCATTTTATTGTGATCGTAGTATCACATGCGTATCTCTTTTTAATATAAACAATGTATTCCCTAAAACATATGACTATTAAAAAATATAATTAACACGCATTCAATGCATTAAAAGTCAATGATAAAGGTTGTATAACAATTTTCATCTCAGTAGCAACGGATTGTATGCTAATATAAGTACATTTGCATAAATTATATAACCAATATTATATTTATACTTACTTATAAATTGATACCTAATTATTACTAACACAGGTAACACTATGAGTCACTGAAAACGGTAAAACACTAAATTATTACAAAACAATTTACAAATGATCCTTCAGTTTCAAGACGGATAATGAAGTTTTGTTTAAATTAAGGAAAATTCTAGCAATAATTTGTTGTAAATGTTAATTATTTATGTTTAACATTCGTCACTCTCATTGTAATGCGCCGAAAATGCAGCAGACATCGCTATTACCCGTATCCTCTAAGTCACCTTTAGAAATAACTCCAGTTTTTATTAGACACTAATATGCATTAGCCAAGCATTATATACTTGTGAAGTTCATTATAGTTGAAATAACCGCAAACGAAATAATGTTTTTTGGCCTAGATTTCCTCTACACAGTAAATTGGTCGCAATTACTCAATAGCCGTATGTTTACAAACAAATATTATGCAAATATACATAATAACGGAAATTGTATCGACACAAAATCTGTGTAAGTAGGTACTGAGTCCAATCCAATATTCATTGCCACTACAAACCAGCTTGCCTCGGCAAAATGTATCGCGAATCCGTACTCCAAATACTAATTATGCCAAAGTCCGTGATTGTTAGCATTTTTTATGTTACTTAGTAATCTGCTTACTGATTTACTTTGGTATTTAGGTATTTCACATTCACGTCGTCATTTGATTTACGTCGCAAAATGTGGAGTAATAAAATATACTCATGATTTTGTTCTTCCCTCAGGTATGATTAGCTGCGCGTCCCCCGCTGGCATGCCGCCCGCGCATCACACGCCGCATCCCCAGGCTTGGGGATCACTGCTACAGCAGCCCACTGTGGTAAGTGTTTTCACGTAACGTAACAACAATTGTATATTTCCACAGTGTTTTACACAAGTTTTGGGAACTTATTTGTGGTCTATAACAACTTTATTCTTTATAGAAATCTGAACCAATGGAAGACGGAAGCTTTATGAAAGACCAGACCAGTGGCTTCTACTCGGATGGCTTCCATAGCGCATCGCCCTCCTCCTCCAGTAAGGATTCAAACGGACACTCGCCGCGCAGTGTCGGCAGTTCTGGAGAACCCTCTCCATTCTACGACAACATGACACTGAAAGCCAAAGCAAATCTGGGTATGCATCTCGAGTCGTTCCGTAACAGTTTGCCGTACAGTTTACTAACACCACCAGGATTTGAACCCCGTAACAATGATGGTCGGGAGCAATCACCTGGCTATGAAACCTCATACTCGCCGAGAAACTTAGCGCCGCCCGCGCACGTGTCCACGCCATTGCAGCGTGCTGACGCTACGCCGCCGAAATCACCGCGTACACCTTCCTCTCCGGACAGAGACCATGACAGACGATCATATGAAAGGTACCAAGACTCTGGATACGATGTTGGCCAGAAAAACGACGGTGACGATGGCCGCGACGGCTCAGGTGACGAAGACTTTGATGATGAGCCCGGGCTCCGTGTCCCCGCCGTCAACTCACACGGCAAAGTTAAAACTTTCAAATGTAAGCAATGCGAGTTCGTTGCCGTAACGAAACTAAGTTTTTGGGAACATAGCAAAGAACACATTAAACCAGAGAAGATGTTGTGTTGCAGAAAGTGTCCGTTTGTAACGGAATACAAACATCACCTCGAATACCACATGAGGAACCATTTAGGATCGAAACCATTCCAGTGCACTCAGTGCTCGTACTCATGTGTCAACAAGTCTATGCTCAACTCGCACTTGAAATCTCACTCCAACGTGTACCAGTACCGCTGTGCGGACTGCAACTACGCCACCAAGTACTGCCACTCTCTCAAACTGCACTTACGCAAGTACCAACACAACCCTGCCATGGTACTCAACCCCGACGGTACACCAAACCCACTGCCGATCATTGATGTATACGGAACGCGGCGCGGACCAAAACAGAAGCCTTTATCTAAAATGTTCGATCATCCGTCGTCCATGAACAATAACACGCAGCCGCAGGGACCCCCGCCGACGCACCCAATATTTGGCAATCCATTCCCCGTCAACTTACCCTACCTCCCACCGTTGCTACCTCACTCATTTTTATTCCCGCCGAACAATAACTATGAACACAGAACATCACCTAAACTACCTGAAATGGCGGCGGAAAAAACTCAAGCAATGTCACCTCCGCCTTCATTACTACACCAACGTTTAGCATACGCGGAGAGGCCGCTTGAGACTGGTACAACCTCGCCACCTCCTTCTAAGTCACCTGCGAGCTTACCACAAACACCAACAACTCCGCGGGAAACACCTGCGTCAGCGGGCAACGACGCTCTTGACCTTACGAACACAAAGACGAGCGAAGCAGGTACGCCACCCCCTAGTACAGAGCGCGTGACGCCAGTCACTCCGACCACAGCCCTTAAGAACAGGAGGAAAGGGCGCGCCTACAAGCTGCAGCCGGCGGCGCTGCGATTGCAGCACGAGGACGACAAAACAAAGGACATGGAAATTTCTGACAGTGAGTCGGAAGGGTCAGTGGAAGCTTCTGGAACAAATCAGTCATACTCTTGTCAGTACTGCGACATAACCTTCGGTGACCTGACAATGCACACGATCCATATGGGTTTCCATGGTTACAATGATCCGTTCATGTGTAACAAGTGCGGGGAACGCAGCGCGGACCGCGTGGCGTTCTTCATCCACCTCGGCAGAGCGCAGCACGCCTAGCCGTGTTATACGTGCCTATACGATGCTTAGCTAGGGGCTATCCTGTGTTAGAGTCAACTAAATTATTGTAGAGTATTTTATTATGGCCAAAGACTTTGTATTGTACATAATTATGTATGTAATAGTGCAAAAGTTCATCGGACAAAGGTTTCCTATAAACCTTATCGCGATTAACTTTTGACTTTAGTAAAGTTGTTGAACAATGTTTAATTTGAAATTTCTTGAAATGTAAATAAATAGATAACTGTATTTATGCTTAGCTTAAAAGTTTAGTCATAGTGTAGTGTACATAAAGTCGTATGTTAGCCTGTGTTTGAGTAGATCTAGAAGAGAAGTAGTTACGAGTGACCAATGTATAAACAAGACTGTATCTCTCGATTAAGTACAAAACAGTTCATAATTCGTGTGTTACTTTAGCTTAGTTTTAAGTTGTAATTTATGAGTTAATGGAACTCACTGATTAAAAAACCATCTTAAACTTTGTTTAGTGTGTCCTATTTATCGTTTTTCTAGATGTAACAACTTCGTAACTACAGATAAGGCTATATAAAACATCAAATAACATGATATTAATAAATTATAACATTACCACTCACATATGGTGTTATTATTTCCGATCTAAAAATAGCACGTTTTTTATTTGTGAGTGTTACATTATAGAAAAACTATTAGATAAGTTCCTGTACATTATTCTGCAAAACGGTGAAGTTACCTATTAGTCATAGCGATATGTTAGTGTTAAACATAAAAAATACAATAACAATTAAATGTATAAATTATAATTAGATCAGAGTGTATTTATAATGTATGAAAAAAGATTTTATTTTATTTATTTATCCTTATTCTGTATGTAGGTTGTATGGGAGTAATTTGGTGTTTATTGTCACATACATACATACTCATTGATTTCAATTTTGTAATGTATAATTTTAATAAAAGTATGTTGCAATCCGACCTTGCTTAGTAAACAATACTTTTGTTTTATAAAAAAAATAAACGTCAGCATTATGGCATGACGTCTATATTGTCTACGGTGCATTTTTTAAAACCGCCATATTCGAAGTCTTTGACCTGTGACTTGAATTTTCGAATGCAAAGTTTTCAAGGTTTTAAAACAAAATATTTAATTGAAATTAGGTACTTATAAGATGGCGTATGCATTCTTATTTTATTTAATAATTATTTTCATTTGTGTAATTGCATTATCATTGTAAATCTGTACAAATGGCTTGATGTTTAAGAAAAATATAAAATTCTATGAAACTCGTTGTTTCAAATTATAGTGACAAATAAATTGTGTGCTGGATACAAAATAAAATTGAAAGTTTTATCTCATTTCTTTAGTTTTATTAGTACTTTTATAGCTTTCAAGGTCCTTATTCTCTAAGGGGGTAAACAAAGGTAAAATATTAAAATGTAACGGTACTTTACGCCTATTATCTTAAATGGGCCAAACAATAGCTCCAAATTATTGCCAGAACAACAAACACAGTTCCAAAAAATTCAAACAAATCGTCGATTTTGAGAATTTTGCTAACCGAAAACTGACCTATTAATTCTATTAAGTGCAATTGCTTTGCTAAACAATAAAGTACACTTGTAACCAAAATATCTTTACCTACACGAATCCGAATGATTAAAAAGTTCTCATGACTTGTTTATTTATTAGTAGTATGGTAAATATTATCTACATTAGAGTGTTGATGGCGATTTTTGGCACTCAATCACGCTGGGAAAGTAAACAGTCCAAGTGGCTGTGGTGATTGATATAGAAGAATACCAAAGACATTATGTAATGAATGAATACCTTATTAGGTATAGACATTCTACATTTATCTTTTAATATCTTCTGATTCACTTCGTTGCGGGAACCAAGGCAATTATTCGTGTCCCTGGGACGCGCCGGACTCCGGTGTTTTCATAGTTTTATCTACATCCTATCCTGGCTTACAGGAGTTGCAGCGGTTTTGGGAGGTTGTGGCGGGCTTGTCCCAATCATTTATCCTATAACTGTTTTACATTTCGATTTCTCTTATAATTGAATGTCGAACATCAAAAAAGACAGTTAGGTATACAGTTAGGTAGGCCATTTTTATTATGTAAATAGTGTGTTACTCCAGAAAATTTTGTGTGAAGTGTATTACGATACGACCCAGCAGTTCCCAATTTTTACATGTAAGTATATAAATAGATATATAAATACAAACACACTCATAAATTAGTGCATTTGTACCTAATATTAATAGGATGTAGGAAATGTTAGTTTATGAAATATTTAACCTCAATTTAATATTAAAACAATTAATCACCATAAACACATGATTTAAATTGATTGTATGTACTGTATCTATATAATTAGGTATATTAGGTTCGAAGCGAATGCGACGCATGCTACGCCGACGCGTGGTATTTTTCGGGGCTCGTACACAAAACTGCGATGCGACGTCGCATCGCAAAAATGTGCGACCTCCCTCTACTCATCGCAAGAACTTGCGAATTGATCAATAGCATCAAAATCTTATCTTCCCAAAATCTTCTTTGTTTCTTTTTCCTGTATCTCCTAAGCAATAACAAAAGTGCATACTTCTTTCTACGATCCATATCACAACCTAGTTTTCAATTTAAAATACGTTTAGTACGTTGTCGAAGGAATGGTCACCCTTGGTGACGCCTTGTCGCACAGAATCGCATCGCAGCAATTCTTGTCGTAATTTTCTGCGTAGCAAATTCGCATCGCAGTTTTGTGTACGAGCCCATTAGGTGTAGGTATAAACCTATGTTGGTTAAAGTTAAGCATAAGTTTTTGTTTATGATTATATATTTACTTAGTTTCTTTTTTCTGCCTCGTTGGCCTAATAGTCGCAAGTGCGACTGCGGGGCAAGGGGTCTCGGCTTATATTCCCGGGTCGGACAAAATACTAGGCACTGGTTTAAAAAAAATCTCAGTATTGTACCCGGTTTATGGCCCACCTCCTATTACATGGTATACATAACATACACAGTGAAAAGTGGGTGTTACATTGTAGGTACAGTGGGATAATGTGCACCTCTGCCTACCCCTTCAGGGATAAAAGGCGTGATGTTATGTTATGTTAGTTTAATACTTACTTCTTCAACATAGGTACCTATTCGTTTTTCACCATCATATCAGCTAGAACAAGACATTCGCTACTTACCTACCTATGTGCCTGTGTTGGAGTGGATTTCAATGACTTCCACATCAGTCTGTTGAAGGCGACCTTAGACCTAGGTAAAAAGCTCCCTGCAACAATGGTTGATGAAACATAATAAATTATGTCCTAGTTTTATAGAATATCATACGAAATGAATCACTACTATAATGAAATAATTAGGTACGAACTGTAAGTTATATCTGAACATTTAATTACAGATAAATAATATTGGAGTGTCTGTTTGCAATATTGAAATAACCGCGTTTTACTACATATGAATACAGGTACATACGACACATATATTAAAAAAAAAACATTTTTTTTATTATTACTGGCTAATCTCTTAAATGACTGGACTGATTTTGACAGGACTTTTACTGGCAGGTAGCTAATGTACGAAGGAGTAACATAAGGTAGGTAAGTACATTTATTTTGGAAAATAAAAAAAAAACATGTCCTAAAATTCATATTCTACGCGGACGTTGTCGCGGGTGACAGCTAGTCTATTAATTAGAGGAAGAATCACAAAACAATAACGTGTTGATTATTTTTCCTCTAATTTTTCAATTGTTTTTCATTTTTATTGTTTAGTATGTGTTGAAGGGCTGAGCGTAATATGAACAATATCGCGCTGCTACTGTGGAGTATTAAACAGATATATCTACTAATTAAATAAAATTCACGAAAATTTTGAATATAAAGACAATACATTTATTTAATTTAAAATGTACATTTTTTATACCTCTCCATAGTTCAAAGTTAAAAAAACATAAAAAAAGAATCATGTTTAAAGGTCACACACTTAACAAGCTCAAACACGGCTCCGGCACGGCTCAAACATGCCTCCGGCACGGTTTAGTTTTGCTTTGGAAACAATACAAAAAAGTTGTAAGCGCGCCGCCGCCGCCGGCGGAGCGTGGACGGCACGCGGGCGGCGCGCCTACAGCTTTTTTATCTTGACCGTGTTGAAATAGGTCATACTACATACGATTTAAAGTCATATTTCAATTGACTAGTTCATTGTTGGGTTGGAACCGTTCGTCAGATGTACGATGACCTGTAGGGGAAAGTCCTGTAACGCCGAACGGCTCCTAACACCGGACACTTGTATTATCTCGATAACTGATAACACTGGGACACTTCCCCTTAAAAATTGAATCGCTCGCTTTTAGTCCGGCGTTAGGTGCCGTCCAGCGTTAAGGGACTTGCCCCTACACTACTTTAGTCGGCTTCGGTACAGTATAGAATACTTTCCCTTCGATCCTATATCCTTTAGGATTAATATTGTGGCTTTGGTTCCCGAGTCAGAAAAAGTACTCTCATACACAAACAATAAACATGTATATCAATTTGTGATATTAAAGTACTATGCGGTTTTATTAAGGAAATATGAATTATTTGCTATCAAATGAATTTTGAATCCCGCGTTAGGTAAGTTAGGTTAATTGGGAAAAATCCAGGTGAGCCATACCTAAAATAATACATAAGTATAATAATCAACAAAATGCATGTTCATTAGCACACCTTGTTTTCATAAATGTAACGAAAATTATACCTAATCAAGTTGAAAAGGAAATTATGTATTAAAGTATAATATACATTTGCAATAAGCTAATTTCCTTTCCTCTTTATATGGAAATGACGCCTCTGGTGAATACAACGTGGATGTAGTCAGATGCTGCCACCGCATTGACAAAAATAACGTATTCCTTTTTAAAAGGCCGGCAACATAACTGTGACTCCTCTAGTACTGCAGGTGTCCATGGCAGCGCTGATCGCTTACCATCAAGTGATCCGTCTACTCGTTTGTACCTCCTAGTCCATAAAAAAGACGACTTTTTTACGCCACGGTGGAAATGTAAGCTTTTTTAAAGGAATAAGTAAGGATCGTGCTATTACTGAATATTTTCAGAAATGTCTGAAATACCGAGTAGTAAATACTTACATGTTTAATTTATATTTTTATGCCTTATCAAAGAATCTCTGTGTTGACGCTTGTAGCCACTCAACGAATGAGGTTAGGATTGTGGCACAAAGTAAGGTATTTTTTTTAAGGGGGGAAAATCATCGAATGACTGCTCCCGCCTGGGTGAGGCGGGAGGGAGTATCAGACTCTTATTGACTAAAAACCACCCTGTTCCTTCTCCTGCACATCGAGCCGGAGCCCCGGTAACCCGTTAGATTCACCGCGACTCCGAATCGGCATCAGCCCTGTTGGGCCCCATCTGTGGTGGTCTGATGGCTCTTTGAGCCATACGCTCGGGTCTGTTTCTGGTCGGACGGTCGCAGAGATCGTCCCTCGACAAAGTAAGGTCTAGACAAGTCACTTCTCTTCTTTATTGAACCTTTTTTACTAACATGTTTAAAGACCTACAAAATCGAGTTACGCAAAAAATTCATGAATGTTTTTTTACTCTTAAATACTGTTTTTAAGTGATTTTCGTCATTACTACGTCATACAAATGGCATTAACATTTTAACATACAATGTAAGCAACTAAGATTATTTTTACATTGACAATTACAATTGAGTTATTTTTGTCCTCAAAATAATGTGAGATTGTAACAATAGGTAGTGTATCTCGTGCTGATTGTCCAACGAACTCACGTGGGGCAGAGGGAAAATAGGTTAAAATATAATTTTTTTTTAAATTTATTAATGTATTTATTAGCTATTAATTGCTACACCATCAACGTTGTTTTATAGGCAAATGCTTTAAACTTGCTCATGCATGCTTTAAAACGCAGCCCAAACCATGTCTTGAGCTGATTTTCTGTAAGGTCGTGGTACCTCTTTAGTCCAGCCGACTTATTTGGGTCGAAGCATGGCATCTCCCACGTGGGTGAGAATGGTTTGATACTGTTGCTTTTTGTTTTCTTTCTTAAATAAAGAACGTTTGTACTTAAATACAGTCGCATTGTGCCTTACATAGTCTCTGGAAGCAAGGGTCAATGTAAACAGAGCATACATAGGACAGGTCATAGCATAGGTTTGATATTATTCTATTGGATCCAAGTTGCAG